TTTTTTTTTTTGAGATGATAACAGTTTTATATATTCAAAAGGCACAAAGGCTGTGCTGGCCATAATTACAGGAGGTTGTACCAAAATATACGTCTAAACTTTCTATCCTATTACGGGGATCCTAGAACATCTATTATAGCTTCTGGATCCTCTATATAATCCTGCTTACACCAAAAATAAAACAACAACAAAGAGTCCGTTTTTATCTTTTGAATTGAGCTGCCCTTGTCTTCAAAACACCTTGAGTTCCTTTCTTTCCAAATAGACCACCATATGCAAGCAGGAATTAAATCCCATCTGTTCTTCTGAGCTAAGGGACTACTCCCTTTATTCCAACATGACAACATTTCCTTTGTGTTGTTTGGCATGACCCAGTGTACCCCTGCTAGTGCTAGAAATATATTCCAAACTTGTACTGTCACTGAACAATGTAAGAAAAGGTGATTAATAGTTTCTGCCTCCCTTCCGCATAGATGACATCTGGAACAGAGTGGTAGACCCCTTTTCATCAGGTTATCCTCTGTTAAACAGGCCTTTCTAGCTACCAGCCAAACAAAACATGCCACTTTATAAGGAATTTTTACTTTCCAAATATGCTTCCAGGGCCAAAACTCAGTTATAACGTTAGTTTGATTGATCGCTTGATAAGAAGATCTAACAGAGAAACTACCTGACTTGTGTCCCTGCCACCAAACCTTGTCATCATTCTGGGTGACACCAGTGAATTGATTGATTGTGTTGAAGAAGTCTGCAATTCTAATGATTTCCCAATCATTCAATAATCTCCTAAAGGTGAGATTCCACCCTTGGACAGACCAAACTTCATTGATGGTGGCCTTCTGTTGCTGGTTTATAATGAAAATGTCTGGATACATTGTCTTCAAAGGTTGCGGCCCCATCCAATTATCTTCCCAGAAGAAGATTTTTTGCCCATTTCCCACTCTATGATTGATTTTATTGCTAAAAATCTGCCACAAATTTCTGATGGTCTTCCAAACACTTACTCCATAGACATTGTTCACTGCCTTAGTTTTCCAGGGTCCTTCCTCACCATATTTGTCTGTGATTACCCTCCTCCATAATGAGTGTTCTTCATTTGTGTATCTCCAGAGCCATTTCATGAGAAGGCTTTGATTTTGTTTCTTCAAATTTTTAACTCCCATGCTACCCTGTTTTTTGCTTAAGGTGACAGTTTTCCATTTAACTAAATGGAACCCTCTTCTAACTTTGTTGCCTTGCCATAGAAAGTTTCTCCTTAAAAAATCCATTCTTTTTTCTATCTTTACCGGGATAGGAAACAGTGACATCATATATGTAGGGAGAGCATCTAACACACTGTTTATAAGCACTAATCTACCTCCTAATGAGAGGTATTGGCTTTTCCACCTAGCAAGCCTCTTCTCACATTTTTCCAGAACTCCGCTCCATATATCAATGGATTTACTTTTTGCCCCCCGAGGCATTCCAAGATAAACAGTTGGGAGGGTACCTATTTCACCTCCAAGAATCTCAGCTAACTGCTGAATTTGTTGAGGTTCATTAACCGGATATATTAACCTTTTCCTCCAGTTTATGTGGAGTCCTGATATCCCTTCAAAAATTGTCAAGAATACTCTTAACATCCTTATCTGATCTGTCTCAGCATCACAAAGAATGATTGCGTCATCTGCATAAAGGAGATGAGTGATCTCCGAACTTCCCACTTGTCTGTTGCTAACCTTGAATCCCCTGATCCAGTTATTCTGTTGGGCTGTTTGAAGCATATTATTCAGCCCTTCCATAGCAATAATAAATAGGAAAGGAGATAACGGATCCCCCTGTCTTAGACCCCTGTATGATGGAAAGAAACCTTCTGGACTCCCGTTAACCAAACACTGAAAATCTTGCTGTGCTTATGCAAAATCTGATGCAGTTAATCCACTATAGCGCTCTCAATTTTTTTTTCATAGAAAATTATTTCTTAACCAACCAAATTGAAAAAACAAAGGAGAGGCCGTAGCGGTGCCAATATTTTCATTGCATTTCTTGTGTGGGTTTTATGTATCTTTACCATATCATCCCTTGCATCATGTTGCATCGTATATGCATTCCTGTAATTCCTTGACATGCAAAAGATTCGCATATGACATTGTGCATATATTCTGAGGATACCTTCCCATGCGAGATGNTCCAATTCACATGATCGAAGGCTTTTTCTATGTCTAGTTTACACAGGACTCCAGGCTTCTTTTCCTTCATTCTAGCATCAACACACTCATTGGCAATAAGAGCAGCATCCATTATTTGTCTTCCTTTGATGAAAGCCATTTGATGTTTGCCAATCAATTTTGAGATCACTGATTTGAGCCTTTCTGATAGGAGTTTGGAGATGATTTTATATACACCGCCTATCAAACTGATTGGCCTGTAATCCTTTAACTCTTTTGCACCATTCTTTTTTGGAATCAAAGCTATGAAGCTGGCATTTAGACTTTTTCCAATGTATTCTTGATTGTGGAAATTCTGGATGGTTTGCATTATATCTCCCTTGATGATTTCCCAGCACTTGGAGTAAAAACCCATACTGAAACCGTCAGGCCCCGGACTTTTATCAATAGCACAAAGTTTAATGCATTCATGGACCTCCTGCTCCTCAAAAGGCCTTTGGAGCCATTCTTTCTCTTGTTCTGTGATTTCAGGACCATCAATCATGTTGAAATTTGGTCTCCATGCTTCTGATTCAGTAAAGAGGTGTTGGTAAAACCTGACTATCTCCCTTTTTATCGCAGTTGGATCCTCCAGTGTTACACCATTAACCACTAGCTGATCAATATTGTTGTACCTCTTATGCGCATTGGCTGTCCTTTGGAAGAATTTAGTATTCCTGTCTCCTTCTTTCAGCCACAGGGCTCTGGACCTTTGTCTCCAAGCTATCTCTTCTTTTTTTGCAACCTCTTCAAATTCCATGAAGTTCTTTTATGCTGTCCCCATTGTTTGTGTTGAGTTATATTGTTGTTCCACATGGGTTGTGTAAAGAATTCAAAAGGGTTTTATGAAGGTAGTGGTCACCTCACTCATTGCCTTAAGGTTCGGATTGAACGCTAAGATTCTTTCTCGATTGAATTGCTAGGACAATTGATTTTTGTTTCCCTTCTCAGCTAGAGGAACTTACATTAACAACAGGAGCTAGTACTGCCATGCATGTATGAAAACTTTAATGATACAAAAATGCGCAAGCCATGCTGAAGTCAACAGTGTTGTGCTTCTTGTAGATTTACAATACAAAAGAGAAAGGAAAAAAAAAGAAAACGAATTAACAAGAGAGGGATAGTAAGGGCCCTCCACCTCCAACCATGGGCATTGGGGTTTCAGTCACTAAGGTAACAAAGAGGGAAAAAACATGTTAGGCTCCTGCATAAGGTCCTTTTTTTTTGCAGAAATAAGGTTGCCATATTAAAATAAAAGGAAAAATAAATTCCTGAGTCTTTAGGACATTTCAACAAGCACCTGATAAAGAAAAAACCAAGAAAGTGAAGTATTGACTTGTAAATTAACAATTCATAAATCCAATCCCATAGAGGATTGCATTTTATTTTAACAGTTACTAAAGTGGTTTAGTCTCTCTCTCTCTCTCTGTTTCTCTTTATTAATATTATTATTATTGTTATTATTTTTTTTAATAAATATTTTGGGAGGGGTTGGAAGTAAGGGGCTGTTTTAGCAGTTTTAGGTGTACAGAGATCTGGTTGTGTGCGGGTTTTACCTTCACAATTGATTTAGTTTCCTTGAGATGCTGAATTTGATGACTCTGAAACCTTTAAAGGTATATCTTCAGGCTTCACAGTGCCTGAGCCTGTTTTAGAATTTCTTTGCCACAGGATGCAAGTATGTTGGTGGTGCACTCTCTCTCTCACTTTGTCTTTTCTTGTTTTTTATTTCATCTTTTCTTGTTTTTTTATTTCGTCTTTTCTTGTTTTTTATTTCCGTCTTTCTGAGCCGAGGGTCTATCGGAAACAACCTCTCTGCCCTATCGGGGTAGGGGTAAGGTCTGCGTACACATTACCCTCCCCAGACCCCACTTTGTGGGATTTTACTGGGTAGTTGTTGTTGTTTTTCTAAAATTTAGAAGATTAAAAGTTTATAGTACTAATTATCGCATAGGACAATCATGGCCTAGTATGGTTATGTTGATGAAATGCCATAGTCAATATGTAAAATGCAACTTTTCAGATGGAGATCATGATATATACGTACATGTACTAGACATGCACATACAAATATATGCATGTATATAACATGCGTCCATGTGTATATATGTGTGTGTGTGCGTGCATGCGATGCATATATACACACACATGCACACGTATAGTCTTTCACATATCCGGACTCTTATTTTTATGTATATTATGTACAACATTTTCAGCCTTTGGATGGTTCTATTAGCCATGCGTTTATTCCTTCAGAAGGGATTAGTGCTGCATCTCATCTCTTTGCCCTGATAGTAGAGTCTGAGTTAAGAGGTAATTCTAGATCTAATACGAATATAAATTTTTGATTTAAAGTGTTTCTTGTCTTGGTCATTCTGTAACATGATCTCTTGTGTAGCTGCTTCTGCATCAGCTTTCAGTGATGAGAATGAGGCTGATTATCTTCAGGCTTCTATTGCTGGTAGTTAAATATACTTTATTCATTAATTTATTTAAGATTCTTTCTTCTTTTCCTCTTTCTTGATGTCTATTTTGACGTTTCAGTTATGTCTTCTTACTTTGTTATCCTTCGTCGTTGTAGTTATTTCCTTTTTTCTTTTCTTCCATTTATAGCACTTATTTCTTGTTCTGTCTTATTGTTGTTTCTAGCCATGGATGAAAGATTAAGTTCATATGCACTTATTGCTCGAGCAGCTATTAATGTTACCGTTCCCTTACTGACAAGACTCTTCTCTGAGAAATTTGCCCGTCTACATCAGGTACTGTCACCTTAAACCTTTTTTTTAACCTGGGAGCTGTAAGGTCACTCAGGCTGTACATTCGCATAGCAACTTATTCCCTTTCAGAATCTATCTTTCAACTTATTACCTTTTTATATTTCTGAGGATTATCTAGTTTTCTCAGTATTTTAGTTATTAATTCAAATATTTGAGTTCCTAACAGAAAATTGGTATTTTTGAAATATCGTCACATGTGAAATTCAATTGCCCTGCTGCCTTTTTCTATTTTTGGGAAGTGATATTATCATCTAGGAGTTTAATTGTTGATCCACTAATATTGTCTAGAATTTCTGATCTCCAAGCTCCTCCCTAGGTGATCTTTACTCCTTTTCCCTTTTTCTTGGGTTTGGTGTTGTCTTTTTTCTTCTTCTTTACCTTCCTATGAAGTCTCTTTTTTTCATGTTAGAAGAGTCAATCTTGTTAAATCAAATGCATGTCCAGTATTACTGTATTTATGAGTTTTTGCTAGTTCAGTATTTTCTTCATACAGGTAATGCTGACTTGCTAAACTCTTTCTTTTTATTTAATTATTTGTTGACTTGTGTAGATTTTGAGAAGAAGAAAAGGCTTCTTGTATTTCTGTGTATGTTTACATCCCATGAGCAAGGGAATTTATACAAAGCTCCTAATGCTAATTAAGGAAATAAAATAAATCTATACAATCAATACAACTATCAAATCAAATCAGAATAAAATCAAATCTCCTAAATATAATTAAATCTCCTGAAATCATGCTAATCAATACTCCTAAATCAAGTCTCCTTAGTCTCTTTGAATCATGCTAATCAACGCTCCTCCTCAAATTGATGCAAGATGTCGCACATGCCCAACTTGCAACTCAAAATATGGGAAGTTCGCTTGTTGAGACCTTTGGTAAACACATTAGCTAGCTGTTTTTCCGATGGCACATGAAACAAACTCAAGACATCAGTTGTAACTTTTTCTTTGATGAAGTATCGGTCAATATCCACATGCTTTGTTCGATCATGCTGGATTGGATTATAAGCTATATTGATGGTAGCCTTATTGTCATAGTACAAGGAAAGTTTTCCTTTTTCAAAAAGTCTTAATTCCTGTAGTAGCTTTTGTAGCCAAAGTAGTTCGCAAACACCCTGGGCCATAACTCTATATTCTGCCTCCGCACTTGATCTAGCAACTACACTTTGCTTCTTGCTTCTCCAAGTAACCAAGTTTCCTCCTACGAGCGTACAATAACCGGATGTTGGTCTTCTGTTATCTAGAGATCCAGCCCAATCCGTGTCTAAAGGCTTCTATTTGGAGGTGATCATGTTTGGAGAAAAGTAGACTTTTCTCTGGAGCAGACTTCAGATACCGCAAAATGTGAAAGACAGCTTGCATATGAGGATCTCGGGGACCATGCATGAACTGACTCACCAGGCTAACTGAATAGGCTATGTCTGGTCTAGTTTGGGAGAGATAAATGAGTCTTCCAACCAGCCTATGATATCTCTCCTTATCATCTCCAACTCTGCTTTGTAACTTGTGATTGCTTTCAATGGGCGATTCCGCGGGTCTGCAACCTGTCATACCGGTTTCTTTCAAGAGATCTAAAATATACTTCATTTGAGAAATAAAGATTCCTCTTTTGGATCTAGCAACCTCAATTCCCAAAGAAGTACTGCAATTTTCCTATATCTTTGATCTCAAATTCATGTGCCAACAACTTTTTCAATCGAGACATTTCCTCTTTATCATCTCCCGTCATTACTATGTCATCAACATAAACTATGAGAAGAGAGAGTTTACCCGTTTGATGTCTTATGAAGAGGGTGTGATCGACATTGCTTTGTTGGTAACCGAAGGAGATCATTGCTTTGCTGAATCTGTCAAACTAAGCTCTGGGGGATTGCTTCAGTCCGTATAAGGCTTTCTTTAATCTGCATACCTTTGCTTGACCCTGTGCAATATCAAATCCAGAAAATCTCCATATACAACTCTTTTTCTAAGTGCATTCTTCACATCAAATTGTTGCAAGTCCCAATCAAGATTAGCCGCACAAGATAAAAGAATTCTAACAGTGTTCATCTTAGCAACATTGGCTAATGTCTCTTGATAATCCACTCCATAAGTCTGAGTGAATCCCTTAGCCACCAATCTTGCTTTGAATCATTCAATTGAGCCGTCAACTTTGTGCTTCACATTGAAGACCCATTTGCAACCAACCAACTTCTTGTCTGGTGGTGAAGTGACAAGTTCCCAAGTTTCATTTTTTGACAAGGCCTTCATTTCTTCAATCATAGCTTGCTTCCATTTATGATCTACAAAAGCTTGAGCCCAATTTTGGGGAATAGACATAGAAGAAATAGACAAGGCAAATGTTCTATAGGAGGAAGACAAAGAATTATAGGATACAGAATTAGATAAAGCGTGTTTGGTGGTGTAAGATCTGACTCCTTTTCTGTGAGCAATAGGTTCATCTAACTCATTAGAAAATGTAAATAACTCACAAGTAGAAGACGGTTCAGCTTCGGTAGATTGTATGATGACTTCTTCTGCTCTATTTTTCTTGAGTAAGTTTTCAAATCAGGCCTATCCAAACGCCCAATAGTCTTCCCCTGAATTCTTTCTCCAATTTCACTTTCCCCTGTGACAGTGTCATCTAGAGGTCCAGTAATGGAACTAGTTAGAATCACCTCTTCCTCCTTACTGCTCTTTCCCGGAAGAGGTGATGAGGTAATATTGAAATAGGGCTCAGATTCTCGATAGGTAACGTCCACACTAACAAAAGATCTCCTAGAGGGAGGATGATAACATTTGTAACCTTTCTGTGTCGGAGTACCCAATGAAAACATTTATAGCTCTAGGATTAAGTTTCCCAGAATTTCTAGTGCGGACAAAGCAAACACACCCAAACACCTTTGGAGGAACAGTATATTCATTCTTACCCTTTAACGTTTCCAGAGGACTTTGAAAATTGAGGGGTTTAAGTGGCATTCTGTTGATAAGATAGGCAACCGCTAGAATAGCATCCCCCAATAAGGTTTTGGTAGATGCACGATGAACATAAGAGATCTTGCTACTTCTAACAAATGCCTATTTTTTCTTTCAGCGACCCCATTTTGTGCACTAGTGTAAGGATAACTAGTCTGATGGACTATCCCATTGGACTCCAAATAAGCACCAAATCTTTTTTTTGAATTGATAACTATTGTATATATTAAAAACATCAGTACATAGGTTGCACTGAAAACCAGATTTACATGGAGAGGATTAGTAGATGTTCTAATTCGAGACCTAGCAAGATCCTAGTATGTCTATGATTGTCAATGTATCTTCTATGTAAATCTGTTTGCACCAAAAACAAAAAAGAAGAATACAATTGAGTTTGATCTTCTGCACTGGATTGCTTCTATCTTCAAAACAATCTAGCGTTCCTTTCCCTCCAAACTGTCCACTAGATAAAAGCCGGGACAATCCTCCATCTATCTCTACTAGTTGCTTCAGCTCCAGCTTCTTCCCAGCTATAAAGGACATCTTTAAGCCTGTATGGCATTGACCATGAAATACCCCTAAGACTAATAAAGATTTTCCATAGTTGGTCTGTAATCTTGCAATGTAGAAACAAATGTGTGACAGTTTCAGCATTTTCCCCGCACAGAAAACATCTTGAGCACAGAGAAATTCCCCTTTTTATGAGATTATCCTGGGTTAATACCGCCTCCTTTGCTAGTAGCCAAGTGAAGCAAGCTACCTTGTATGGAATCTTTGTTTTCCATATATGTTTCCAAGGCCATGGGTCCACCTGTTGATTATTATGATTCAAAATCTTATATGCATCCTTCACCCGGTAAACCCCTCTGTTGTGCCTCTTCCACCAAAGTGAATCAAAACCTTCCTGTAATCCTTTAAATGCTTCCAGCTCTTTGTAAAGGTCAGCTAATCTTGTTATCTCTCAGTCATTCAACTGTCTTCTTAGAGCGATTTCCAATCCTTGATGACTCCTCATATCAGCTACTGTCTTATGCTGGTTTTGTGCTAAACCAAACATATCGGGGTATCTTTCCTTTAAGCTTCCGTTTCCTAACCAATTATCATTCCAGAATGATGTGTTCCTTCCGTTGTTCACTCTTACGGAGGAGTGATTCTTCATTATAGGCTAAAGTTCTCTGATGGATTTCCACACACTTACTCCATATGATATTCTGACTTTTTTTGACACCCAGTTATTTTCCTCACCATACTTTGCTTTGATCACTTTGCCCCATAAATATTGGGGTTCTTGAGAGTACTTCCATAACCATTTCATTCTAAGAGCCTTGCTATGATTCTTCAAATTCCTTATTCCTAAACCACCTTGTTTTTTATCCATTGTGAGTGTCTTCCATTTAACTAAATGGAGGACCTTTTTCTCCTTATTACCTTGCCAAAGGAACGATCTTCGGAGTTTGTCCAATCTCTGTAAAATGCCTGCTGGAATTGTGAACAAAGACATCATATAAGTAGGAAGTGAGTCTAATACTGAGTTGATTAGAACTAGC